CCCGATGCGGGACTCGATCCCGGGACTCCAGGATCATGACCTGAGCCGAAGGCAGTCGCTTAACCAACTGAGCCACCCAGGCGCCCAAGATTTTTATTTTTAAGCAACCTTTACACACAACGTGGGGCTTGAACTCACAACCCTGAGATTAAGAGTCACACGCTCCACTGACTGAGCCAGCCAGGCGCCCCCATACTATAATTCTTTTTAAGGGAGGAAAGAGGATCATAAGTCTTTTTTAAAGGACAGATACTATGTTGTACCTTCTGTCTCAGCACCCAGATGATGTAAGTAGATAAGCTCTATTATATTAATTCCTCTTATGGATGTGGAGACTGAAGCTCTAAGACCGTGGGCATGCCCAAAGTCATACATGGAATTAGAAGCAGAAACTCAGTCCTAAATCTCACTAGATTCTGTGTGCTCTAACCATTAAGCCTTGATGATTCCCAGGACTTGAAAGGAGGAACTTTATCTCTCTTTAAGTGCCTCATAGATTTGCTACTGGAAATAAAACAACAAATGACTAGATACTTACTGGAGGCATCTTCTATCAGGCTCTCTTTATCCTCTGATTTTGACAGCCTTCTCTTGGAAGTCATTTTGACCAGAAGTCTTCTGCAATTAAATTACTTCCTACTGCAAAATCAGAGAATAGAAGTTACCTTCTAGAAGCTAGAAAAATTTTGAGATGTTAAAGCTATAGCTCAAAGGAAACTATCCTATCCAAAACCAAAGTGATTCTAGTTTTTACACTAATGTTGCCTAACTCCAGGCGCTGAAAGAATTTCAACTCCTATATCTGGTCTAAACTTGTTTACCTAGTTGCCTCTTTAGCCAGACCACTTTCCTCTTGCTGAAGGATGAAATCCAGTTCTCTTTCTGACATTCCAGATCCTTCAACATCTAGCCCCAACCTACCTCTCCTGTAACTCATTAATCCAAATTGTATGTTAGAGACTGTGCTAGGTGCTGGGGTTACAACTATGAACCAGACATGATCCCTGCCCTCAGGGAGTTTACAGTAATGAGTAGTCTTGAAGTAGTTATTTAAACACAGTTATGTAAGTGCTATAAGAGAGAAGCACAGGGTGCTATGAGGGCTTACAAGGAAATTTAATCTAGTTGGGGGTAGGTGAGATGAAGAAAAGCAAGGACAATTTCTCAGGGATAATCTCTGTGAGAAAATGATTTTAAAGCATGGACCTGAAGGCTTCAACAGGAGTTAGCCCCAAGAAGATGTATGAGTAGTCCAGGCAGAGAAAAACTCAGCACTGAACCAGTAAGGAGCCTGTAGAGTTATAAATGAAACTGAAGAGGTAGGGGATGGTCGGAACCATACTAAGGGCCTCCTAGTGTATTTTCTAAACGGAAACATTCCTGGTGTCAATGCTTTTGCATAAGGTGTTTTCACCTGAAATGCTCTTATCTGCCTGGAAACTACTACTCATCCTCAAAGACACAGTCAAATGTCATCTTCCTTGAAAAATGTTCTTCCTATCCCCAAAGGAGTTTGCTACTCCAGCCTCCCTGTTCCGTAAAGTGTATCTAGGATGCCCTACCACATCACACTAGACTGTGGGGCTCCTTGAGAACAGGAACCCAGTCTCACTTATCTCAATATCCCTAGTGCCCAGCAGGGTACCTGGCCTAAAATTTCTGAGCATATTCCTAAATAAGAATGGCTGGCAGGCAGGTAAATACTAATAACTAACAAGAACGATCTTAAGTGCTTTATAATTAATACTTCATTTATTACTCACAAGTCTTCTTTGAGGTAGGTACCCCTAGTATTCTCATTCAGTGGCCGAGTTGGGTTTCTAAGTCAGGCAGTCTGACTCCAGAATCTGCACTACATACCAACTATACTTACTCTTGATTATAATGATGGCTTCCAACAATAGTTAACATTTACTATGTCCCACCCACCATGCTAAGGGTTTTCTTTATCCATTGCCTCGTTAAATACTTATAACCATTATCAGCTATTTTACAGACAAAAATTAAGGTAAATCAGGGCCGTCTGACTCCAGGGCACAAGCCCATAACACGGCCCCTTCCCAAAGAAGCCTGAAAGCCTGGTGGGTGGGGCCGACTGTCTGGACCAGGTCTTTTGGAAAGGAATTGAGGGTAACAGCCCTTCTCATTTTGTCATTTTAACGACGCACGGAGGTACCTGGGGGGATTATCCCACAACAGGGCAGATGAGGAGGCCGAGGTGCGGGGCGCGGACTCCCAGAAGGAAAGGCCGAGCTCGGCCGGGGCCCAGCGACCAGGCCACAGTGGCGCGGGGCCTCAAGAGACGACGACCGCTGCTTCACTCACCCACCGAGAAGCCGTCGCCGCCCCTCGTTTTCGACTTTCCCGCCCGGAGACGCCACGCCGACGCCACGCCGACGCCACGCCGACGCCACCGAGGCGCGCCTCGCCGTGACGCTAAAGTTCCGCGCCGGAAGTGGGCGGCCAGGTGGCCCGGCTGGGGGCAGTGCACGAGAGCCAAAGCTGGAGTAGGGCCCCGGGCCAGCTAGACTGAGAGGCGTGACAAGGCCCATAGGCGAACTCATAGAGGGGCTTTCGCGCCCCGGGGGAAGAGAAACCCGACTACAGCGGATGGGAGCCGGCTCTCTGTGAAGATGGCGGGGCCGGAGCTGCTGCTCGACTCTAACATCCGCCTTTGGGTGGTCCTACCCATCGTTATCATCACCTTCTTTGTGGGCATGATCCGCCACTACGTGTCCATCCTGCTGCAGAGCGACAAGAAGCTCACCCAGGAACAAGTCTCCGACAGGTCAGCGCCTTCCCTCTCCGTCGGCCTCACTCCCCCGTGACCTTGGGCAAGAAAGTACAGGGGTATTGTCAGTTTGTCCGGGTTGACATCGCGCCCCCACTGGCTGGGTGACCTTGCCAGTGTTACCTCTGTGTTTCACTTTAGCCATCTGTAAAATGAGGGTAACAGGAGATGCCTCATAGAGCAGGTGTGGGGATTAAATTTTAAATGAAGCCTACAAAGCCTTTAGCACAGGGCTTGGGATGTATTAAGTGCTCAAAAAAATTGGTGCTGTTGTTAGGCCAGTCGCCAACCCTCTTATCTATGAACTGTATATGAGGTGGGTGTTTTTACGCTACTCGTTTTACCAAACTACTGTGGTGGTCAGCTGAGATACTAAGTATCCAAGTGCTATGCAAATGTAAAATTGCCATAGAAATGTGAGGGATTGTAATTACCATTTCTCCTTCAGGAGTGGAGGCAACTTGTTTCTCATGTGTTTCATTACAGTATTTATCTGTGGAGAGAGGTAATTTGAGATCATTTTAGGTATCTAGAATTGTGCCCCCTCCATATTAAAATAAAAAATAAAAATAAAAAACATTTTCCAGTCAATCATTGTGATTATTTTCAGAGATCATCTCAGGGAAATGGTGCTGTGTCTTTAACACTTCGCTATCACTCATTAATCTTCCATTTTAAGAAAGAGCAAGCTTCGGGCTCAGAACTTTCCACAGGCAACAGTATCTTACTAAAATTTTAATTATGTTTTGTTTTTATTGTGTTTATGTTAAGTTTCTGTTTGTGGCAACTAATACTGGTTTTCCATTGGCTGGCAACTTAAAGATTTATTTTAAAACTTAACATAAGTAGAAAAAGTTGATATGTAAAAAACACTAAGTTTTTAATAGTACAGGTGCTAGTGAATAAAACAAAAATCATAACCATGGAATGAGAATGACTGAAGTTTGGGAAGCACTGCTTTATCATTTTCAGTTGTGCTTCCCAATTAGGCTGAGAATAATATAAAAATAATAATAAACATTTATTAAGCACTTATTCTATGCCAGGCACTAAGCTAAACACTTACATTCATTAACTTATTTAAAATTCAGAGCAACTCTTATGAGATAGATGCTGCTGTCCCATTTTATAGAAACTGAGGCTTAAGAGGTTCCATGGTCACACATGATGACATTCAGGACTTGAGGGCAAATTTTCTGGTTCCCAAGTCTGGAGTTCTTTCCACAACACCACAGGGGCCACTTCAATTATTTTTCTGTGGCATCAGTTCCAGAACTGATGAGAACCAACCTCCTGGAGAGACCTGAAGTCAGTTCACCACAGAAAGGAAGGCTATAAAAAGATGTAATATGAAGAGAGCTCAGATATTTAGCATTTATTTATTGACACCAATAAATTGTTCTCATTTTATCCTCACAATCACACCAAGTTAGATAATCCTGAACTCATTTTTACAGTTGAAGAAAAGAAAGCCAGAGAAATTAACCCAAAATAACCAAAATTGTAAAATATTGTGCCTGTACTTGAACTCAGATCAGTCTCACTCCCTAAGTTAAATTCTCTTGACCACAATTGCTGCTGTCATAGATTCTCTGCCACAGTTTTCTGCTCTTGGTTCACTATGTGATTTCAGAGTGATGTTTCTGAATGATATCACACCCATAGTTCCCCCCCCTTTTTTTTTAGATTTTATTTATTTGTCAGAGAGCGAGAGCAAGCACAAGCAGGGGGAGTGGCAAGCAGAGGGAGAAACAGGCTCCCTGCTGAGCAAGGAGCCTGATGTGGGACCCTATCCCAGGGCCCTCGCATTATGACCTGAGCCGAAGGCAGACGCTTAGCTGACTGAGCCACCCAGGCGTCCCCACAGCTCCTTTTTCTAAACCAAAATGAAATTCACAGTTCATGCACTCTATAAATAAAAATACTTAAAAAAAAAAAACAACATAATATTTGCAACAACATGGATGGGCCTAGAGGCTACTGTATGCTAAATGAAATAAGTCAGACAGAGAAAGACAATTACCATATGATTTCACTTATATGTGAAATCTAAAAAACAAAACAAACAAAAGCGGAAACAGACCCATAAATACAGAGAACAAACTGATGGTTGCCAGAGAGGAGGGAGATAGGGGGATAGATAGAGTATAGTCAATGATAGTGTAATAGCGTTGTATGGTGTCATATGGTAGCTACACGTATGAGCACACCATAATGTATAGAGTTGTCAAATCACTATTTTGTACACCTGAAACTAATGTGACATTGTGTGTCAACAGTACTTCAATAAAAACAACATAATGCCCTAGTTGTGACAATAAGGAGAAATAAAAGAAAAATAATTTAATTTCTATTTCATAAATACTTGTTCACAGTGGTCCTCAAAAGTGCAATGCAAGGGCGCCTGGGTGGCTCCGTCGTTAAGCGTCTGCCTTCGGCTCAGGTCATGATCCCAGGGTCCTGGGATCGAGTCCCACATCGGGCTCCCTGCTCCTACTGCCCCTGCTTGTGTTCCTGCCCTCGCTCTCTCTCTCTCTCTGTGTTAAATAAATAAAATCTTAAAAAAAAAAAAAAAAGTGCAATGCAAAAGTCAAAGCATGCACCTCACTATAAAATCACCTTAATTGGGACAGGTTCGACTCTAGGCTGATACAGTATTCGCTACTTAGATATTACAGAAGGCAGTGCGGTTTTGGATGTGATTTTACTAAATGAGGAACTACACTTGATAAAGTTCTGAACAAAACAAAGTGCAATTTTCCCTATATATACTTGGTTGCATACCTGGAAATTGAATATATATAAAAATCACTTCTTCCTTCCCTGTGGAAAAAAAGATGGAATTAGGTTTGAGGCTCAGATAATTAAAAGCAATTCAGTGAGATACTCAAAAGTAGTGTGAGACATGAGATGGTTCTTTGAATTGCACAACTGTCTCCAGCATGGAGGAATACTTAGCATCCCTTACCCCTAACAAATGAGTTACATTCTCTTTCTTCTCTACCCCATTATTTTGACAATCAAAAAAGTTCCACAGATTTCCAGAAGTCCCCTAGAGGGCAGTACCACCTCCATGGAGAACCTCTCTAGTCATAATTGTTCCTTTATGTGAGATGTCTGGATCATGCCAGTTCCAACATGGTGTTACGGTACCCCACCAAGTCATCCTGTGAACTTGGATAGAATGCTGAGCACATGGTTCTGAACCTGCCAAAAAACCAAGTCAAAACGTTTTCTGATTGTAAAACATTCCTCTAAATATAAGTTTCCATTAGCCTGAATGATCGCAAAATGGAATGTTTGGTTTCATAAATTATTAAGCTTTTGGTGCCTCAAAACTTATTAAATTTTTCTAAAATATATTAAACCAAAACTGAAAGATAAATGAAGAAAATATATTAGACCATAGTTGGGGATAGAATGGAAAAAATGGTGCTCAAGCTCAAAGAATATACTGACTCTTAGGAAAGGAAAAAAACAAACTCAGGTCTTTAATATATGATTAAACTCGAATTTGAGAAATACCAACTTTAAAAACTAAAGCTTTCGGGGTGTCTGGGTGGCCAGGTTGGTTAAGCATCTGACTCTTGATCTCAGCTTAGGTCTTGATCTTAGAGTGGGTGGGTGTGGAGCCTACTTAATAAAAAAAAACAAAAACTAAAGCTTTCTTTTAAGAAAATGTCTTTCACTTGCAAATTATCAATGCAAAAGAGCTTTATCTTTATAACCAGTATAAGAACTTATTTTTCAAGAGTAACAGAAATGGAAATGCAAAATTAAAAATTTCTTGTAGCATCTGCAGACCTCAGAGAAACTGAGTGTTTAGAATATACAGGATAATTTAAGCTTGCCTTGATTTAGGGTTGAAATACCTCAAGGTCATGGTTCTCAATCCCAGTTCTACAAAATTGCTCAGCAGTGAAAATATAGGAGATGTAGCTGAATTTCTGTTGATTACAGTGCCTGAAGAAGACCTGAATTATTATCCACAGTGAACAAGTTTTTACTGATGATCTACCATGCGCTCTGCACTGTACCATATGCTATAGGATACAAGATATGACAAGGCCAAGACCCTACTCTCAGGGATTTTCAGTCCAAGTGACAAAACATGCAAAAGAAAAATAATAAATACCTTTAATCTAGTGCTTAGGATATGCCACATGCCGTGGTAATCACTTTAAATGAAATGATATATACGAAGAACTCAGCTTAAAATCTTCAGTATTTCCCTTTTGCTCCTTTTTTTTTTTTTAAAGTACTCTCCATACCCAACATGGGGTCCAAACTCACAACCCTGAGGTCAAGAGTCACACGTTCCACCAATGAAGCCAGCCAGGTGCCCCACTCTTTTTTTTTTTTTTTTTTTAACTATTTTTAAGTGTACAATTCAGTGGCAATAAGTATATTCTCAGTCAGTATATTGTTGTGCACCCATCCCCATCATTCACTCCCAAAGTATTTTCATCATCCCAAACTTTGAACATATTAAGTAATAACTCCCCATCTCTTCTCCACCCAGTTCCTGCAACCAGCATTCTACTTTCTGTTTCTATGAATTTGAGTGGTACCTTATGTAAGTGAAATCATACAATATTTGTCCCTCTGTGCCTTCTTATTTTACTTAGCATAATGTTTTCAAGGCTCACCCAATGTTATAGCATGTGTCACATTTCAATACATTTTGTAGCAATGTGACAGTTTGACATATATATACTTTCTGAATTGATTGCCACAATCCAGTTAATTAACATATGTATCACCTCACAAGAATGCTTAAGGTCTACTCTCAATAAATTTCAAGTATATTACACAGTTCTATTGACTATAGTCACTATACTATATGTTAAACCCCCAGAGTTTAGTCATCTTATAACTGTATCTTTTGGTCAGCATCTCCCCATCTCCCTTATCCCCCAGTAACCACCAGTTTACTTTCTGTTTCTATTAATTTGACTTTTTTTTTTTTTTTAAAGATTCCAAATAAAAGTGAGATCATACAGTGTTTGTCTTTCTCTGGCTAATTTCACTTAGCATAATGCCCTCAAGTTTCAACCATGTTGTTGCAGAGGGCAGGATCTCCTTTCTAGTGGCTAATATTCCATTGTGTTTGTGTTTGTATATGTACTACTGAACTGTGTGTTTAAATAGGATTATAGTGATAAATTTTATGTTATGTATTTTTTACCACGATTAAAAAAAATACACTGGGATGCATGTGGCCTTATATAGTATGTCTCTTGCACGTCTCTCAAGTCTCATTTTCACCATGTTTTCTGTAGTTCTCTTTCTTCTAGCCATGTGGCCTTTTCTCAGGTCCTCAGAGACATAGTCTTTATGCCTGCTGTAGGGCTTTTGCCCATGCTGTTCCCTCCAGCACTTTGCCAAGGTAATCTCTAGTTGTCCTTAAGATTCCAGTATAGTCATGCATCATCATCAAAGCTTTTTCCCAGATCTTGACTTCCTAGACGTGGTCAAATCCCCATATTGTATACTCCCACCATACCATCCATCTCTCTTTCCTAGGACATAATAGGTGAATTTCACATTTATTACTGTGGTCATTTAATCAGTGTCTTTCTCTCCCACTAGACGTTAATTTTCATAAGATATTTGGTTTATTTGTTTTTTTAAGATTTATTTACTTGAGAGAGAGAGAGAGCAGAGGGAGAAGGAGAGAATCCTCAAGCACGCTCCCCCCACCCAAGTGCAGAGCCCGATGAAGGACCTGATCCCAGGACCCTGAGATCATGACCTAAGCCAAAATCAAGAGTCGGCCACTTAACTGACTAAACCACCCAAGTGCCCTGAGATACTTGCTTTTTTTTTTTTTTAAGATTTTATTTATTTATTTGACAGAGACACAGTGAGAGAGGGAACACAAGCAGGGGGAGTGGGAGAGGGAGAAGCAGGCTTCCCGCTGAGCAGGGAGCCCGATGCGGGGCTCCATTCAAGGACCCTGGGATCATGAGCTGAGCTGAAGGTAGACGCTTAATGACTGAGCCACCCAGGCACCCCGAGATACTTGCTTTTTGATCACTGTTGTTCATGTCACCTAATAGTACATGGCATTCAGAAGCTCAAGAGGTATTTGTCCAATGAGAACAAATCTGTTATTGTGCAGAATATGAAAGGAGGCATGGGGAATTTAAATGACTCAGCCAAGATCACAGACCTAATGAGTGGCAGAGCCAGGATTTGAACCCATCTGTTCAACTCCAGAGCTTAAATTTTTACCCATTACTCTAGACCCAATGCTGCCTAAACCATCAGTGATGAAGGACCAGTTTTTTGTTTTTTTTTTTTATTTCCAATCTATCATAGACTGATGCTTTTGTAAAATACTGTAGTACATATTTATTTGGATGTTGTGGAAATACCAAATTATTATAAACGTTTCTAAACCCTTACTCTCAATATCTGCGCTTAACCTCATCACAGACCAGCACTGGTACATAGGCCACACTTGGAGTACCTTTAGACTAGCTCCCAGGGACAGAACATATTGCATGTCACCTCTGTAGGCCTGTGTATAGAGCAGTCAACCGTACAGTACAACGAGGTCAAGAGGAGGAAGACCAGAGAGAATTTCATGAGGGCCCCAGGCAGAGTTTCAAGGAGAAGGCAGGGCTTAAAGAAGGTGTTACGGTATGATGGGGCAGAACTCGTGAAGGAGAGGGGCACTAAAGCATTCCCAGCACGTGGAAAGGCTAGAATATGCATAAGGTGACAAGGGGACCCTGATTAGAGCAGGTGGTTTATACTAAGGAGTAGAGAGAAAACCAAGCACGGCTTTTATGTTCCTTTCTGTCTGCATTTTTTTTCACTTTTCAAGAAGTATTTCCATGAACTTAAGGAGGTGCCCGCCGCCTCCATTAAAACAACTTTTGAAAACCTAGCAAACATTGGTATTTTGATCTCTGTTCTGTTTGGCATCTGTATCTTAGCACCACCTACTTTCATCGCACTCTGTTATCTTTAATGATCAATTATAGTCAGATATCACCAAATAATTTATTAATTCAGTAAATGTTTATTGAGAGTTTACTAACGGTCTGAATCCTGCTGGAATTTCTATTTGTTGTCTGTCAGGGAACAACCCTGTCAAATCTTGTACTCCTTTCTCTGTGGGGTTTTAGAAGTTCTTTCTTTTATCCTCACCCTTCCTCCCTCCTCCTGCCCCCAGATCTTCTGAGGAGCATCCAACTATTACTTTTTTCACACAGAGAAAGTTCCTTCTTAGCTTCTTAAAAAGTAAGAAAAAGCTGAGTGTGATGTTCCAAATGTGCCTTCCTCAGAAATCTTTTGTTCATAAACATAGTGACTTCTTTTTTGAAGACCTGATTTTTGGGTTAAATATGTTATATTGGTTTTAAGGACACTTGTATTTTGAAAAGTGTCCCCACAGGACTGTTGCCAAATAGGTTCTCTCTTGTATTTAAATAGGTCTTCCACTCTTATTCTCTCATTTTCTTCTAGTGTTTCGCTTTTAAAAATCTCATTGTCTTGGTTGTATTTTTCAGTCAAGTCCTAATTCGGAGCAGAGTCCTCAGGGAAAATGGAAAATACATTCCCAAACAGGTACTCATTTATCTTTTATTGAAAGCTCCATGACTCACTGTTGAGGGCAGTAGATATCTGAATGTTTAATGAGGGGATTCTTTGGGGAAAGCTGAAGTTTGGCAAATCTGTAATTAAGCTGTGGCCTAGTAATATCTGCTGTCTTTGTGACCTTGCCCTTCTTAGGAAATTGTTTTTAAATGTGACTCAGCTAAAGTGTCAGGTTGGCTGCCAAGTAGGCGGCCAGCTCTGAGTGTAACAGCCTATTCCAAGGGCCTTCTGACTAAACCTCTGGGGAATAATTTGACAACTTGCTATGTCACAGTTTTAAGACTTAAAAAGCTCTCTTTTCTACTAGTCTTTCTTGACACGAAAATATTACTTCAACAACCCAGAGGATGGATTTTTCAAAAAAACTAAAAGGAAGGTAGTGCCTCCTTCTCCTATGACTGGTATGTTTACTCCCTTCTGTCATCTTTAAGGAAGATTCTTAACAGGAGTTGGGGGGAGGGCAGGGAGGATGTGAATTTATTTAAATGTTAAATTGTATGAGAGAATAATCTCAGGGGCCTTAGAGATCGTCTGGTATAGGCATCTACACAAGTGGAGCTCTCTTTTTCAAATAAATCATCTGGGAACCCCAATGTATAAAGTGGATTTAAAAAAAAAGAGCCCTTGGCTGGGGGGTGAGAAAGCTAGAGCCATCGTCCCTTTGTCTCTTCCCTTTGCTGTTCCTCAGGACCCAGGGCTCTGCAGAGCACAGTTGGAAAAGCATCCCAGTCCCAGCTCCTACCCAGTGCCTGGATCCCGTTGCTGACAGATGGCCACCCAGCTTCTGTCTGAAAGAGGAGGAGCTCTTAACCACTTCCCTAGGCCAGCCATTTCTTTGTCAGACATGGTTGCTTGGCCCACCCTACAGTTTTTGCTCTAACAGATTTCTTACTTCCACTGACCCTAGTCATGTGAAAAAATACAGCACTTTTAAAGTAAAACAAAATAATTTATTCTGTGTTGGCTGTTCTCTCATTTTAATACTCATTTCTCTAGGTAAGAAACCCAGACAGAAGGTACAGCAATTGGTTTTAATAAGTCTTTTAGAAAACCCACAAGAAACAAAAGACCAATTTGTGTATGAAGATATTTGACTTCACTAAAATCCACAGAATGCAAATTAGAACAAGATATCCTTTTAAGTTTTTTTTTTAAGATTTAATTATTTGAGAGAGAGAGAGATGTGCATACACGAGGTAGGGGTTGGGGGATAGAAGCAGAAGGAGCTAAAGAGAGAATCTCAAACCGACTCCCCACAGAGCACAGAGCCCAGTGTAGGGCTCAAACACATGACCCTGAGATCATGACCTGAGCCAAAATCTAGAGTCGATGCTTAAGCAACTGAGCCACCCAGGCGCCCCCAAGATGTCCTTTTTAGACCATTAAACTGGCAAAGATTGAAAGCTTCACAAAGCTGCTACTGTCAAAGTCATGGGAAGTTAGGCCCTCTCGCTATTGTTGAAGGACAATCTGACAGGAACAATCTATAGGTCCATCCAAAAGTAATAAGTAAGTGACCACATAGTAGATTCCTATGCACACATGAAAATAGTGAGAGAGATATACCAATGTGAAAATACCATTTACAATATATTTACTTTTTTAAAATTAAGAAGCAGATTAGTAAGCATAATATTCCTTCATTGTGTATATATGGAAACTGTTGTGTGTATACATATACATGCATATTTATACACATATGTATAAAGATGGAAGGATATGCAACAAACAGTTAAAAGTATTCAGAGTGGGCTCAGAGAAACTGTCTACATCCTATGTTTCCAAGTCATTTGAATTTTTTACAGTGAACTTGTATTTAATGATCATGTAAATTAAAAATTTATAGAAAATCAGGGAGAAGTCCCTGCCAACAGTGGTAAAATGTTGTGGTCTCATGTTTTTGTCATAGATCCCACTATGCTCACAGACATGATGAAAGGCAATGTAACAAATGTGCTCCCTATGATTCTCATTGGTGGATGGATCAACATGACTTTCTCAGGCTTTGTCACAAGTAAGTTACAGACCTGGAAGACTTCAGGTTCACTTATCTGTGATCCTTTCCCATATCCCTGTTCAGAGAAATCCACGTGCTGCTGAGACACTAAAATAACAGGTCCCATATCCTCTATTGGAAACTAATCACGGTCTTTTTTTTTTTTTTTTAAGATGGTATTTAGTTGAGAGAGGGAGAGCATGAGAGAGCAAGCATGAGCAGGGGGAAGGGCACAGGGCGAGGGGGAGAGAGAAGCAGGCTCCCTGCTGAGCAGGAAGCCCAACATGTCCCAGGACCCTGAGATCTTGACCTGAGCCAAAGGCAGACACTTCACCAACTGAGCTACCCAGGTGCCCTGGAAACTAATCACATTCTTTGAAAAAAAATTAACATGCCATGATGTTATGGCTCTTATCCCAAACTCATCATTAGTTCATGATGTGGATGCTTTTTTTTTTTTTTTTAAGATTTTATTTATTTATTTATTTGAGAGCAAGCGAGCGAGAAACAGCATGAGAGGGGCGAGGGTCAGAGGGAGAAGCAGGCTCCCCGCTGAGCCGGGAGCCCGATGTGGGACTCGATCCCAGGACCCTGGGATCATGACCTGAGCCGAAGGCAGTCGCTTAACCAACTGAGCCACCCAGGCGCCCAATGTGGATGCTTTTTTACAAATAGGAACTTAAGTGAATGGCTTGCTCGTTTGTATCCAAAATTAATTCTAGTTAAGTAGGATGAAGGGAAACATGTTTCTATTTTTTTTTTTTTTAAGATTTTATTTATTTGACAGAGCTAGACACAGCGAGAGAGGGAACACAAGCAGGGGAAGTGGGAGAGGGAGAAGCAGGCTTCCTGCCAAGCAGGACCCTGGGATCATGACCTGAGCTAAAGGCAGATGCTTAACGACTGAGCCACAAAGGCACCCCAGCATGTTTCTATTTTGACTTCATTTTCTAAGTATTGCAGTGAGTTGTTTGTCTATTTGTTTATAATTTGTTTTGAATCAATTTCATTTCTCAGGAATGTAGTTCAATATATGTATATATTCCACTTTGGGTTTAACAGTTTAGTGCAAGTTTCTTTTCTAATTTTAAGTCATAACTCAGCCAGAGTCCCTGTTGTTAAGCAATAGAGAAGCTGGAGTTCAAGGAACTATAACAGAGTGACATTTGACTGTTATTTTTTTTTCATAAATTGACACAAATTTCCTGGTAGAAATCATTTTCAAACTGTATGGTACAGAGTTTCCACCTCCTCAGGGAAGGATTACATGCATTCATGCTTAAACTGTTCTAAAAACAGCAAGGAAAGATTGTAAACTTTCTCTCTCTTTTCTGCAGCCAAGGTCCCATTTCCACTGACTCTCCGTTTTAAGCCTATGCTGCAACAGGGAATTGAACTACTCACATTAGATGCATCCTGGTAAGAACTTTCTTTCCTTTATAAAAACACAAAACAAAATCTAAAACCGATGTCCCTTAAAGAACAGGATTTCCAATTTGCATACTTCCAGGAATAGATTTTTGGTTTTTCTCATTGAAACGCCACTGAAAATGCCATGGGTGGATTATGACAACTTTTAGCCTACCCCAAGTGATTTCTTTATATACTCTTTGGGTGATAGAAAAGTGTGAACTCTGTTAATTCTAAAATAACTACCTATGTTGTTTCACTTTTGCTTTCCTAGGGTGAGTTCTGCATCCTGGTACTTCCTCAATGTCTTTGGGCTTCGGAGCATTTACTCTCTGATTCTGGGCCAAGATAATGGTAAGAAGCATGTTGGGTTTAATAAGCAAATACTTTGATAGACAATCACCCATGCCAGGGCCAGAAAACTCCTGTAGGCTGTTATGTTTGTTAGCATAGTCAAATACCATGCTTTACTCCCTAAACTTCTGAAGTTTCTGAGGTATTCTGCAAGAGTCTTAAAAATTCCAGGGTCGGGGAGCCTGACTGGCTCAGTCGGTGGAGCATGCGACTCTTGATCTCAGGGTTGTAAGTTCAAGCCCCACCCTGGGTGTAGAGACTATTTAAAATCTTTAAAAAAAAAAAATTCCAGGGGCGCCTGGGTGGCTCAGTTGTTGGGCGTCTGCCTTCGGCTCAGGTCATGATCCCAGAGTCCTGGGATCGAGCCCCGCATCAGGCTCCCTGCTCTGCAGGAAGCCTGCTTCTCCCTCTCCCACTCCCCCTGCTTGTGTTCCCTCTCTTGCTGTGTCTCCCTCTGTCAAATAAATAAAAAAATCTTTAAAAAAAAAAAAAAATTCCAGGGTCAACTGAAGATCTGAATTCTCCCTGGAAATCATGGGGGCAATATTTAGTTCCCTAAAGTCTGAAAGCCTCCTGTGAGGAATCCAGTACCAGTAATGTAAGCCTGTAAACTGAAGCTGAAACAAGGCCTGGTTTGACCAGTTAGTTCATTGACTAGAGTTCTTCCCAGGACCAATCCTGGCTCTCTTATTTCATGGCTGGGACCTTGGGCAAGTGACTTAACCACTTGAATCCTGTGCTCATTCGTAAAACAGAGACCTAAATAATTAGCTTCAGAGTTTGTTGTGAGGAGTAAATGAGGTAGAATATGGAAAGCACTTAGTAAAGTACCTGGCATAAGGTAGTTGCTCAATACCTTGGCTTGAGCTGTAGTTATTGTTTACATTTGAAATACTACAGCCTCGGTGGCTGTAGTTATTGTTTACATTTGAAATAAAGTGTAGCACTTCCTTCAGTTACCTTCTGTTATTATCATGCCCACTTTTCAGGAGAGGTAAAGTGACTTTCCCTAGGTCACATAGCCAGTGTGTGGGAGGGCCAGTCAGGGAATCTGTCATGCAGTACTCGCATCCATTCCTGAGCATCTGTCCGTGTTGCGTGAGGACCGTTTTTCCCGGAGGGTGCTGGGTGCTTGCCGAGCCCCGGCGGTCACATAGGTGTGTCTTATACTGCAGCCGCGGACCAGTCACGGATGATGCAGGAGCAGATGACGGGAGCAGCCATGGCCATGCCCGCAGACACCAACAAAGCTTTCAAGGTACACTCACACCTCCTGTAGCTTCACTAAACTCCGAAAGGCATTAGCAGACAGTTACTTTAAAGACCGGTTCCCTGAAGAGAGTGTGATATGTATGGTTCCATCATTTAAATTTAGCAAAAATGAATTTTTGCTTACATATTTCTTATTCCTTAGACAGAGTCAGCTGTTAAATAAATTGGAGATTCTTGGTACTTTTACCTAGTTTTTAAACGCTTACTCAAATTTAATCCACACTGTAAATGAAGCTGTAAAAGAGTTCATTCAGAGACACCAGGTAAACATTTAGGATATTTTGAGCTATTTTGGACCCTGTGGGCATCAGATATAAATTTTATTTAAAAAAAAAGATCAATACTTAAAGCCTTTTCATGAAATGATTCTGCAATATGTAAAGTCCAGTATAATTTTTGTACAGCAAAATCTCACTAATTTTTCATGATAAAAACTAGAAATAGAAGGGAATTTGCTCATCTTGATGAAAGGCATCTATGAAAAACCCACAGCTAACATCATACTCAGTGGTGAAACACTAACAGCTTTTCCCCTAAGATTAGGAACAAGATAAGAATATCCACTCATGCCACTTCTGTTGAACGTTGTGCTGGATGATTAGCCAGGGCCGTTAGGCAAGAAGAAATAAAAGGCATCCACATTAGAAAGGAAGAAGGAAGAAGGAAATGATCTGTTTACAAGATGACATGGTCTTGTATATAGAATATTGTAAACAACCCACAAGAAAAACTGTGTAGAGCTAACAAACAAGTCCAGCAAGGTTTTAGAAGATGCAGGGTAAAGATGCAAAAATCAGTTGTATTTCTACACACTGGTAATAAAAAATCTGAAAATAAGAAAAAAATTCCAGGGACGCCTGGGTGGCTCAGTCGGTTATGCGTCTACCATCGGCTCAGGTCATGATCCCAGGGCTCTGGGATAGCGTCCGCATCGGGCTCCCTGTTCAGCAAGGAGCCGCTTCTCCCTCTGCCTGCCACCCCTCCTGCTTGTGCACTCTCTCTCTCTCTCACTCTTTCTCTGGCAAATAAATAAATAAAATCTTTAAAAAAAAAAAAAGAAAAAAATTCCATTTACAATAGTATCAAAATGAATAAAATACTTAGAAATAAATTCAACAAAAGAAAGACAAGACTTGTACACTGAAATTACAAGGCTTTGCTGAAAGAAATTAGGTAAGACCTGAATGAATGGAAAGACATCCATGTTCATGGATTAGAAGACTTAATATTGTCAAGATGGCAGTACTCCCAAAATTGATCTACAGAGTCAATACAGTCCCTCTCAAAATTCCACGTACCTTTTTTGCAGAAATTGATAGGCTGATCCTGAAGATCATATGGAAATGCAAGAGACCCAGAATAGCCCAAAAAACTTTAATATGAATAAAGTTGGAAGACTCACACTTCCCGATTTTAAAACCTACTTCAGAGCTACAGTAATCAACACTGTGTGGTACTGGCATAAGGATCTATAGATCAGTGGAGTGGAATTGAGAGGTCAGAAATAAACCCATATGTTTAAGATCAATTGACTTTTGTCAGAGGTGCCAAGACAGTTCAGTGGGGGAAAGAATAGTCTTACTGCTGACTGGGTACAGAGTTTCTGTTTCAGGGGATGAAAATTTTTGGAAATACATAGTCTTGATGGTTGCACAACATTGTGAATATAATTAATGCCATTGAATTGTATACTTACAAAGGTTAAAAGTGGCAAATTTTATGTTATTTATATATTACCACAGTAAAAAAAAGAAAAAACTTTAAGTGGTGTAAGAGCTAAAACTATAAAACCCTTAGAAGAAAACATAGGTGTAAAATGTTTGACGCTGGATTAGGCAGTGACTTCTTAGACATGACACTAAAAGTACAAGCGACAAAGGAAAAATAAATGGAACTTTGTAAAAATGAAAACTTTTGTACTTCGAAGGGCACCATCAAGAAAATGAAAAGATAGTATTAGAGAACATGTTTGCAAATCATATCTCTAATAAGGGTCTAGTATTCAGAATAAAGAACTCTCAGAACTCAGCTGTAGTAAGACATCCAGTTAAAAATGGGCAAAAGTTTTGAACAAACATTTCTCCACAGAAGATATACAAATACCCAATAAGCTCATGAAAGCATGCTCAACATTGTTAGCCATTGGAGAAATGCAAATCAAAACCACAGTGACTCACTCGGTGACTATAATAAAAAAGATGGACACGAACAGGTGTTGACAAGGATGTGGAGAAATTGGAATCATCCTACTTGCTGGTAATGGTGCAGCCACTTTGGAAAGCAGTTTTTAGCCTATCCTCAAAAAGTTAAACATAATTTTTCTTTCTTTCTTTCTTTCTTTCATTTATTTATTTTAATTTTTATTGTTATGTTAATCCCCATACATTCCATCATTAGTTTTAGATGTAGTGTTCCATGATTCATTGTTTGTGCATAACACCCAGTGCTCCATGCAAAACGTGCCCTCCTCAATACCCATCACCAGGCTAACCCATCCTCCCACCCCCCTCCCCTAAACATAATTTCCATATGACCAGCAATGCCGCACTTAGGGAATTGAAAACTTAAGCCCACACAAAAACTTGTACAAGAATGTTCAGAGGGGCCCCTGGGTGACTCAGTCAGTTAAGCGTCTGCCTTCAGCTCAAGTCATGATCCCAGGGTCCTGGGATCAAGCCCCGCGTTGTGCTCCCTGCTCAGCGGGAAGCCTGCTTCTCTCTCTCCCACTCCCCCTGCTTGTGTTCCCTCTCTCGCTGTCTCTCTCTCTGACAAATGAATAAATAAAATCTTAAAAAAAAAAAAAGAACGTTCAGAGCACTATTCCTAATAGTCCAAGAATAGAAACAATCCAAATGTCCATTATTTTATGAACAGATGAACAAAATGAAACATTTTGGAATATACATAACAGTGTATGGTCAATGAAAGTGTTCAGTGGAATATTTAACAAAAAGGAATGATGTACTGATACATGCTACAGCAGTGAGGAACCTTGAAAACATCATAAGTGAAAGAAACCAGTAAGAAAAAGCCATATATTGTATCCAGAATAGATGAATCCAAAGAAAGTGAAGTGGTAGTTGCCAGAGGTTGGGGGAGGGATTTAATGGGGAGCATCTGCTATTTGAAACAGTTTCTTTTTGTGGTGATGAAAGTGTTCTGGAATTAGGTAGTCGTGATGGTCTTTGTGAACATACTAAAAACCACTAAATTGTACATATTCCAAGGGTGAAGCTTATGGTATGTGAATTGTATTTTTAAACAAAGAATGGAGGGGCGCCTGGGTGGCTCAGTTGGTTAAGTGCCTGCCTCTGGCTCGGGTCATGATCCCAGGGTCCTGAGATCGAGCCCCACATCGGACTCCTTGCTCAGTGGGGAGTCTGATTCTCGCCCTTCCTCTTCCTCTGCCCCTCTCCCCCTGCTCTTGTTCTCTCTCTGTCTCAAATAAATAAATAAAATCTTAAAAAAAAAAAACAAATGGATAAAGATGTGTGTATACACACACACACACACACACAATGGAATATTACTCAGCAATCAAAAAATGAAATCTTAAAAAAAAAAAATGAAATCTTGCCATTTGCAATGATGTGGATGGAGCTAGAATGTATTATACTAAGTGAAGTCAGTCAGAGAAAGACAAATACCATATGATTGCACTCGTGGAATTTAAGAAACAAAAGAGACGAACATATGGGGAGCGGGGAGAGAGGGAAACAAACCATGAGAGACTCTTAACGATAGAGAACAAATAGGGTTGATGGAGGGAGGTGAGTGGGAGAATGGACTAGATGGGTGATGGGTATTAAGGAGGGCACGTGTCGTGATGAGCGCTGGGTGTTGCATGTAAGTGATGAATCACTGAATTCTGTTCCTGAATCCAGTATTGCATTGTGTGTTAACTAACTAGAATTTAAATAAAAATTTTTTTAAAAAGCCATGAGCTAACATGTGTATTGCATATTATCTTTTCTAAAGCATTTTTTTAAACCTACTAATTAAAGGCAAAAGTAATCAGCGTTAATAGACTATTTGAGAAATGTAATTAGTTACTAGCTCTAGTGACCTCAGACAAATTATTTTACCTTTTTTAGCCTTATTCTCTTTGCCTACAAATTGAGCACGGGGGTGCACAGGGCAGGTGGCAGCCCCTACCTCATAGAGTAAATGAGTCTATACGTGTAAATAGCTTAATCCAGCTGCTGGCCAGCCACATCAGCACTGCTCTTAGTAACAGCCCTTCTCTCCCTTCCCTGGTGTCTTCTTCCTTTGCAGACAGAGTGGGAAGCTTTGGAGCTGACGGATCACCAGTGGGCACTGGATGATGTCGAAGAGGAGCTCATGGCCAAAGACCTCCACTTCGAAGGCATGTTCAAGAAGGAATTACAGACCTCTATTTTTTGAAGACCACGCAGGGATTTGCTGTGTCAGGAACTCAGAGTAGCGGTTAACTTTGTAACTTTGGTTTGAGCTGGAAGCCTCTCAGAATAAAAAGGAGGATGCATGAGCCGGCAGGGTGTTCAGCAGGAAGTGTTCTTATCTGAGCCAGGTTCCCCTGTATGTCTGAAACTAGAGACATTTGAGGAGTCTGTGCTAGATGACTTACCCGGAAATGGCTATTTTTAAAATGTTTTACATTTTCCTTCTGGTGAGTCTGATAATGAAAGTCAAAGAAAGGGGGAATACTCAAGCTAGTAATAATATATAAAACTTAGCAAAAATTCAGTCTTTGGAAAATGCATTGTCAGTTATACCCTAATTATTAAGCACAGTCAGCCTGACTTCTAACCACAGCGAACACCTGTTTTCTTGGGATCCAAACACCCCTTGTGTTTTACCTTTAATTTTTTGTTAGTATTTCTACAACTTTCTTTACACAAATGATACATTTTCATTACTGAAAATTTAGGAGCTATGGATGAGCAAAGTGAAAGCTCCCTGTGTTGTTCGTTTTGAGCCTACCGAGTGACATAAAGAGCAAATGGGTCAAAACCTGATTCAGATAAGCTCTTTTCAGAGTGAATACCCAGGGCTAGGACAGACTTAGCCAGCCTTCTATCTCTTAACACTGTCCAGTGAAAATCGGCAACACTGAGACACTGCCGGATTCTCAAGTGCCTTTGGGATCATCAAAGATAGGATACATAATCTGAGGTCTTGAGCTGGAGTTCAGAAGATATCAAATCCATTGACAGATCAACAGTGCTATACCGAATATGGCTACTCAGTTGAACGAAAGACCTCATTTCCCAGTTACTCTGGATAAGAGAGTTTACATATCGCTGTAAGAAGGGAGAAAGGGCAATTGCTGGCAGACACGTAGTGAAGGTTGGCCCAGGAAATCATTCCGTCTGGATTAACTGTCCCTGGGAAGTGGCAGGGCGCCATTTCTGTACCAAGAGGTGAATGTAATTTGCATGTTGAACGCTGCAATCAAGAACAAACAACTCTTGACCAGCAATTAAAACTTTCTGTTTTCTCTGCCTATAAAACGTTGCCTCTGTGGGTCACTAACAGCCTTCTGCCACAGTTATAAGTGTCTTGTGGATCAGTGCTGAAGAGTTAAAGATGAAAAAGATGTGGGGTGCTTGGGTGGCTCAGTCTGTTAAGCGTCCTCCTTCGGCTCAGGTCATGGTCCCAGGGTCCTGGGATGAAACCCCTCATCAGGCTCCCTGCTCAGCGGGAAGTCTGCTTCTCC